AATCACCATCACCCTTAAGATCATCACTACATTAATATCACTCTTGATCATCACTATTAACGGCATCACCCATCACTGCATCATCCCCTATTGATATTAAAGAATTCGTCTTGTAACTTTGCATTGTCCTCTTAGTTTCTCAACAAGTATAAAAGACCTTCTTTTCGTCTCTAAGTTATTTTCATCTCCCCGTACACCGTTGGAGTTGAATTGGCCATTTAGTCATATTATTCATATTATTTCAAAAGCTCTCCCATCAACGGTTACATTTGGTGCCGATTGTGTGGAATAAACAGTTACTTGCCTCTTCTAAATAATAATAAGATACTGTTAATACTTCTATCAAGCTGAATAAAACCATTAGAAAACCCAATGTAACCCCAAGAAGAAGAATTATGGCCCAACCCCCTAATCCTGCTCAACAAAACCCTGTAAATCCTCCACCTCAACCTAATCCCGCCCAGCCTAACCCAAATAATCCTATCAATAATCTGGCTGCCCAAATCGGGTTATTGATTCAGCAGATGCAAGCTGCTCCCACCCCACAAATAAATGTTCCTAATCGGAAGTTGAATCTTGTGGCATACCCCGATTTCGCTGGTGGGGACCAAGATTCCATGACATGGCTTGATGAGGTTGAGAAGGCTTTTGCCGCTAATTTGATTAATGATGATCAGAAGATAGCCATTATCATCCCCCATCTGAAAGGATCGGCTGCCACCTGGTGAGTGACGTGCCAACGGCAGCCTAACCCAATCAACGTTTGAAATGACCCGGCCCAACAAAATAGGAGCTTCCATCCCAACTTTATTACTCAGTTTCGCACCCTGACCCTTGAAGGGAAATGGTTTGCAAAGTTTGCCACAAGGAAGCAGCTTGTGACTGAAGATGTTGACACCTACCATACTGCTGTCCAAGAACTACTATGACGGGTTGAATCAGGAGGACAGCAATATCCTGAAACCGCTAAAGCCCAGATTTTTCTTAATAGGTTAAGGCCAGAAATTGTCTTAGCCGTCGCTCCCTCCACCCCGAATACCCTTCAAGCCGCCTATGAGTGGGCAAAGGCATACAAAAGTGCCTGTAAACAAAATTTTCCCTATTCACCTGCCCCTATGAATGCTCTTTATGCCTCACCGGTTCCTACGTCGGTACCTACCTCTGAATCGGCAATAGAAAAATTGACGGACGCGGTTAATAAAATGATACTTCAATTACAAGAAAGATGACCCCCTACCTCAAATCAAAATAGGAATGTTTGTTTTAAGTGTGGGAAAGCGGAACATATTAGTAGAAATTGTCGTATCACCATTTTTCCAAACCCTCAGCCCAATTCCTCCCAGAATTCAACGCAGCCAACCCAACCTGTTTACTCCTCACAAAACCCACCTCCTCCTACCTCCACTCAAGTCCCTTTTTCCGGTGGTAATAGAACCAATGAAGCTCCTGAAAATCACCAACAAAAAGCCCTGCAGACCCTCCTTGCCTTGCCAGCTAGTTTAAATTCCTCTAATCACCAAAACGACCAACATATCTACGTTAGTATTCCTCAGGAAGATGTTCCCTTATTTGCCGCAGAGTCTCGTGAAACCCACCAATCCAAACGTAGACGACAAGAAGAAGATGACCTAGAGTCAGTAGCAGAAGAAGCGTTAGAACAATTGCTGAAAAAAGAAAAGGCAGCAGAAAAAAATGTTACTCCCCTGTCTAAGGCCGTTCCTCCCAAACCTAAGTGTGCCCCTCCCACCAGAAGAAAAGTCCCTGAGGATGAGATGCCTCAAATCGCTTCGTTGGTACCTCCGTATTTGATTATAACTGACCTTAGGAATAAGCCAGCTAATATTACTATTGAACAACTTCTTCGCGCTGTCCCTTCTATGAGGTCAGAGCTGATCAAAAGTCTCCATAAAAAAAAAGCCCCTGTAAAAAGAAAAATGAAAAATAATATTAGTCTTACCTCAGAAAAGAAGTCTACTGTATTATACTGTGATGCTCGAATTCTAGGAGCAACTATTCCCTTAATAGTTGATAGCGGGTCTTCTGGCAGTGTCGCTTCCTCGCATCTATTAAGGGATTTGGGTATCAAAGTAGAATGCCCTTCCACTATCAATATGGTTAACGTGTACAGAGAATGTAAAAGGGCACTAGGAGAAATTTCAGATTTTCCATTTAACGTGGGAGGGATGGAAATTCTGAGTGATGTTGTCGTAACAGATGCTGGATCCTACCAAGCGATTGTTGGGAATGATTGTCTTTCAAAGGTTCAAGCCAAAATTGACTGGACTACCTCCGAAATGACTCTTACCTAAAAGGGTAAAGAAGTTACTGTCCCTGTTGAATGTCAAAAGTTTACCCCAGAGCCTCTCAGTAAAAATCATCCTACCAAAATCTGTGAGATAGAGGAAGACTCTGAGGAGGAGACGGAAGGTGATGACCTATCAGGAAGTGATGAAGAGTTCGAAGAAGAAGAATTAGAAGATAAAATTTATAATTATTCGGAAAGAGAAGAAGTTGAAAATCATCATACTTAACCTGTTCCTACCCCTTCTCGTAATAATGTAGTAGATTCCACTCCTGACTCCGAACACTTTATTCCATTACTTCACACCCCTCCTAATAGTCCTAGTACCCAACCTTTAAACGCTCTTACCCCTGCATCAAACACCGAAACTGATTTAACTCCTTTTCCCTCAGATCCCGGCTGCTCTTCATTTGCCGTTCCATTCTCTGTCAGAACTCTTTTTGAAGTCCAAACGGCAACCCAAAAAGAAATTCACTTACCTTCTCCCAACCTTGCCGACCTCCCTTCTTTGGTATACTTTGACACTGAATCTACCGATTCAAGTGATGATGACTGGTATTTCTCCGATAGTTATAGTGTCCCTAAAATAGGGAAAGGAAAATTTGATTCTGATGCCAATGATATTATTGATGAAGAAAGGAAGCAACAGAAAATAGAATATAAGCAAAATAAGCCTACTTCCGTCACTTGCGTCTACGATATTGCGGAAAATGCCTACCTTCAAGAAAGTAACCCCGTCGTGATTCTCGTAGATGTATTTCTGAACACCCTATCATCAAAGATTTTGATCCAATTAGTGATATCCTTAACTATTACTATGGAGAAAGACAAGATACTTACCAAATTGGAGATTTATCCCTTGACCAGTGATTGCGGCTCCAGAATTTCTTGGTAGAGAATTGGAACCTTTTTACCTGGGAAGAAAAATTCATCAGTCGTACTAATCTCATGAAACATCATATCGATACCGGAAATGCACTCCCAATTAAACAGTACCCTTACCCGCATTCTCATGCGGAGAAAAGATTATTAAAACCGAAATTGCTTAAATGATCTCTAACGGTATAATCCGCTCTTGTATAAGCCCATGGACTTCCTCCGTCGTGTTAGTACCTAAAGAAGATGGGAATACCCGTTTCTGCATCGATTACCGCAAACTTAATGCAGTAACAAAAAAAGATAATTACCCTCTTTCCAGAATCGATAATCTCCTTGATGCGTTACAGGAATCCTCTTGGTACAGCTCCCTAGATCTTGCCAGCGGTTATTGGCAAGTCAAAGTAGAGGAAACCGATAGATTAAAAACTGCCTTCACCACCCCTTTTGGTGTTTTTGAATTTACTGTTATGTCGTTTGGCTTGGCAAATGCTCCCCCACCTTTCAACGCCTAATGGATCATATTTTTCAAGATTTGATCGGTCACTGCGTCCTTATATATTTAGACAATATTAACATTTACTTTAAGGATTATGAGGAACATTTAGCTCACCTGAAGGAAATTTTTGGCCGTTTAAAAGCCGCCAGCTTAAAATTAAAGCCCACCAAGTGCCACTTTATGAAACAAGAGTTAAAATTTTTGGGCCACATTGTCAGTAAGGCTGGTATCGCGACTGACCCTAAAAAGATAGTGGCTGTGAAGAAGTTTCCTGTTCCAAAGAACATCCGACAACTCTGAGGATTCTTGGAATTAGCCTCTTACTATAGAAAATTCGATCATAGGTTTACTAATATTGCCGCCCCGTTAAATTATCTATTAAAAAAAGAGGTTAATTACAAATGGACTACTAATCAGCAAGAGGCATTTGAAACATTAAAAACCAAATTAATGACTGCCTCTATACTCGCCTACCCGGATTTCACTAAGACCTTTATACTTTTCACAGACACATCTAATCAGACCCTGGGCACTATTCTTGCACAAAATGATGATAATCACCATGAACGAGTTATCGCTTACGCAAATTGAAGTTTTACCTCGCAGAAAAAAATTATTCTGTAACAGAGAAGGAGTGTCTTGCCCTCTTTTGGGCTGTTGCTTATTTTCACCCTTACCTTCATGGTAGCCGGTTCATCCTATATACCAACCATTCCACTTTGAAGTCTCTTTTCACCATTAAATTACCCCAAAACTATCTCACCCAATGGGTTATGGCCCTTATGGAATATTCTTTTACTACCTTACATAAGCCAGGAAGACATCACCTAAATGTCGATAGTTTATCCAGAATTCCTAATTCCGAATCTAATTAATAAGATTATTTTAAACAAGGAAAAAAAAAAAAAAAAAAAAAAACTTAGCTGCAAATCCATTAATCCAGTCCAGGTTAGGGTGTCCTGGCATACTACAACAACTTTTTATCTATTCTCTTTTTAACTATTGAATCAAATAAACCCTGTATTAAAAAATAAATATATATATTACCACCAAAATCCCATAAAAGTATTATCAGCTTACCCTAATACCCTATTGCGATTCGTCAAAACACCAGCTTCTACAGAGTAAAAAAAAAAAAAAAGATGCTTTAATTAATAAAAGAAAAAAAAAAAAAAAAACACAAACAAAAATGGATATAGAAAATTATTCTATTTACGTTAAATACTTAAGAGATGCAAGAGTACCGGCCAATTACACTATCAAGCAGATAAAAGACCTGAAATACAAAACACAGCATTTTTTAGTAATAGAAGATCTTCTCTATAAGACCAATCGCCATGACCTGATTCATCCATTAAGAGTCTTGAGAAAAGGTGAAACCAGTGCTATTCTTTTTAGTATGCATAATGATCCACTCGCTGGTCACTTCAATTTTCAGTCCACCTACCAAAGAATTGCCACCCGATATTATTGGCCTCAAATGGGCAATGAAATTAAAAAATCTGTTCAAACCTGCGACACTTGTCAGCAAAAAAAGAAGCCCCATACTAAGGAACCTCTCTACCCAATCAAAATAGGGTGTCCTTTTGATCGCATCAGAATTGATATAGTGGGTCCACTTCCAATAATAACTTCCAATCAATGATATATAGTGGTAGCCACAGAATATTTGACGAAGTGGCCTGAAGCTCGTGCATTGGAACAAGCAGATGCTGAAAGCGTTGCTGACTTTATTTTTGAAGACTTGATATATCGGTACAGAAGTCCCAAGGAACTTTTATCTGACCAAGAGACTCACTTTTGTAACCAATTAATTAGTGCCCTTTGTAAAAAAATGGAAATAACTCACCATATGTTGATATCGTATCATCTGCAAACCAACAGGTTGGTAGAACAATTTAATCGAACTCTTTGCGGCGTCCTAAATAAGTGCGTGAATCAGTATGAAAAAGAATGGGATAAGTTTATAGGACCCACTCTCTTTGCTTATCGAACAACAAAAAATAGCGCCACTGAATACGAACCTTTCTTCTTACTATACGGTCGAAACGTTGTTCTGCCAATTGAGACTAATCTTGTAACTTCACATTTCCGACCCGGCCTTGAAGAAGAACTGGAAGCGCAAATATTACGACAGGTGGAGAAAATTTATGGTGATCTGATGGATGCACGTGTGCAAGCTACACAAAAAGTCAAAAAAATGCAAAATAAGTATAAGGAGTATTATGATTAAAGAAATAAGTTAGAGTCGTATGGGATCAGTGATCAAGTCCTTTTATATTGATCTGAGTTAGCTATGTCACACAGCGCAAAATTGGAACCCCAAAATTTAGGGCCTTATTATATACATGACGTTTTATCCTATGGTCAATCATGACTTGCAAAGCATTATAAATATCGATATGATAATAAATATTGCAATTTGTTTTGATATACATAGTAAATAATTGACAGAACAAATTTTATTAAAATCTACTTTCAGTTAATTGAAATAAATTGAAGTTTTACTTAATTTTTACCTTGAATCGAAATAAAGTTTTTGTGCCTAGATTTTAAATTTATTAGTCATCTAATTTTTTATATAATATTCGTGAATATTCATAACTAATTATATGAATATCCATCCAAAGCCTGGATATTCATTAATAGTATTCATGAATATCCAAAATCTGTGAATATTCACTGAATATTCATGACGGATATTCAAAGGATCCAACCTCTAAAAGCAACTCAACTTCACAAGGATCTTAAAACTATTGGACACATTATATATTGCACTAAAAAGTTCTTCTCACAGAATATCCATCTTCCTGATAATATCTCTAACTTAATTAGTAACATCAATACAGCTTACAACTTTTCTATTAATAATCCACCTATCCAACAAACAGAACTAACAACATGGCTTCAACATACAAAAGCTTATTGGAAACCACTCTATAATACTAGAAATCTAGAAAATGTTCAACATTTGCAAAAGCATATAAACAAAGCCATAGACAAAAGATGTGACCAACTGCTATTATAACCTACTAAAATGATCAACAGTATACTCAACAGACACAAAGAGGCTGTACACTTCCAGAACATTAAAACAGATAAC